ATCCCCCTCCTGGTTAGCTAAAAATCGACATTTATAATCTTTGTGGCCGACCTAAGTACGTTGGGCGTACTTAGGATTACGCAGCGCGTACTATGGATAATCATGCGATCAAGTCTATCCGATGCAAGCAGGTACGCGGGGCGTACTCTTAAGGTACGCGGGGCGTACTCGCTACCTCAGCACCCTTTTCTTTCTTTTAGCTTCTAAGCCCGGTTTCCGCTTCAGTCTTTTCTCTTGTGCTTTATTGACAACAAATAGCTGCAAAACATAATTCAAAGTATTATGAGTACTCTTTAGTTCTAAAATAGAATAAATAAGGCCAAAATATTAAGATAAAGTGAATAAAAATATATATAAAAATACACATATCAAGATACCCCACACTTAGGCTTTGCTTGCCCCAAGCAAATTTACTTTTATTTTACCAATATCGCACTAAACAATCCATTTAAAACTCAGCCATTATGCCAAGACCTCAACGCATGCATTTGTGTCTAAAATTTTCCTAAAGTACCCCCCATACTTTAAATACTCACAATCTTCATAAACACTTGCCCACTTTTTCCGAACAATGCTCATTTTATGCAACCCTCCGAATCCATCCGCAGAAAACCTCCTAACCTCAAGGTATTTTTTAGTTGAGCAACCTAAGCATACATAATCTAGAATTACAATTTATGATACCACTATGGAGCTTTTTAGGAATTCTTCACTTTCTCTGACAATTTGATCTTCAATTTCTTTGAATTCAACACCTTATTTGATTTGATTTCTTGGTATCTTCAACTTTTTGGATTTCTTGAGAATTTTGATCTTTTGATCTTCACTTTATTTGCTCCAAAATTCTTCAAACTTTTTCGTAATTCTTTCTCTTTTTTTTTTTACATGTACCTCTCTTTTTTCACTCAAAACCTACATGCTTAAGCAGAGGCGCTCAACCTCAACCTTTATTGGTTAATGATAATAATTTTCCTGGATACATTTCAGGTTTAGGCTGCTAAACATATTGCATCCTTCAAACCGAGCGGGGTTATGTTTTTGTTCCATGATTTCACTAAAATAAGGGAAGCCACAAATGCACTATAACGTATATTGGCTCAACTAAACATTTGAGTTCTCATCGGATCATCTCATACAATATTAGCAAAATTTTAAATTATCACTAGATTTTTCTAAATTAAACTATTATTTCAAGTTTTCTTTTAAATTTTAAATTTCCCTAATCTAGCAATTTCAATCTAATTTATTTTCCTAAATCTAGCAATTCCAACTTATTTCATTTTATAATTTACTTTTACCGACCCCTACCCCACACTTATTTCATACAATGCCCTCATTGTATGCTAAAAAAATTAAGAACATAAAAAGGGAGAAAAAGGAACAGACTCCCCTGGGTAGTTGTGGCGAGATCGAATGGGGCTGCTACAGGTTGCTTCAAATACTGCTGAAAAACTGAAAACTGGAACTGCTGCTTCTAAATTGCCGAAAAATAAAATCAAGACCGCCATCTTCGAAAATGTGGTACAAAATATTGCAATTAGATGCAATGTATAATAACCATGACGTGGGAAAGTGTCAACCACGTCGTGTCAGTCGGAACGATATTTCTTCCTTGCATCGAAATACAACTCTAATAAAGATGCACCCCACACTTATGACAAATTGTGGGTCTTGACTATAACCTTCGAACTCTCACATGACTCTCTCTAGCAACAGTCGGACCTAGCTGCTGAACTTACTGCCAGCTTCCTAAGGGCGAATATTCTGCATAATCTAAACAACCATAGAGCATCAACATGGAAAACACAAGTAAAACAAACTAAATCAAAGTTTAATTACATACCAAATACTAAAAACTAAACTTAAACTAAAATTAACACAAAACAAACAAATAAACAAAATAAAAAGGATCACTCGTCATCTCCATCATCATGTGGCTGTGTCCCAGAAGTACCGGCCCCGTCAAATCGTGACTGGAATGGTGGTGGAAAGGGAACCGAATACTGAAATCCCTGATGGGCAAAGAATGCATTCAACGCATTCCCTTGCCACCGCTGTTGCGCGTCCATGTGCAACATACTCGCTAAGGTTCTGGACCCTCAAGTCAAGACGATCAATGCCCTGAGCTAAGTAGCGCATATCAATCTCCGGCTCAGGTCCCTGCTGCGCTCCCCGAGGAGCAGGTCTACGCCGCGGGACCCGTCTCGGCTGTGGCTCGGCGGCACCCTCCTCATCCGCCACATCATCTGCTCGAACCCCCAAAACACCATCTCCGCCCCGCTCCAATACGTGCATCGACTCCAATAGCTGAAGACTCATCGGCCTCACGTCGTGGAACACCATCGATCTCGTGATCTCACGCGTCAGCAACTGATATGACTGAGCTAACCGCGTGATAAACTGCCCTCCGCATATCGGGCTATCTCCCCCGAAGTCCCCTGGCCCTCCGTCCCAAATATGCAGCTAACGCGATGGGAAGGTTCAGGTGCCTCCCTGGAGTAACTAGTGCCCATAGGAAATACAGGTCCGTCGAAGGCACTCTCTCACTATTCTTGTGATGCGTGAGAGACATAGAAATCAACCGGTGCAACATTCGGTATGTAGTAGACCGAATCATCCCCCCTCGAGCGGTAGATGGTGTATAAATTCCTCCCGTAATCTCGGCCCAAAAAAGTGTTCTCATTGTAGTCCTCCGGCCGCTCCGTGAGACAGTCAGCAAGAAATGTCGGGAAGTGGACACTCCTTGTCTCATCGGCTGTGTAAATACCCACCCGAGTAGCAAGCTCTATCATGCTGCATTCCCGGCTCACTCCTCCCAGTCTGAAAGCAAAGGCTGTCCTGTCATTGAGTGGCTTCCTAGGATCATAGGAAACTGTAGCATAGAACTCCAGCAAAAACTCTCGATATACCGGCTCCTGGATCCTGAACAAACGCGCCCATCCCTGACACACAAACAATTCCACACCACTCGCGTCCGAGTGTGTGTATTGCAAAAATTCCTGGATCAATGCAGCAAGTCCAGTCCTGGTAGCCAACTCCCAGTCGAAAGAGGGTGCAATATCAATCTCCTTTGTGAGAAGCAGGCTCAAGTTGGTGCTATAACGCGCCCTGGTAGCATCGCTCAGTGTTTGCGGAAATTGTAAAAAGCGATGATCGGTGACATCCTCGGGAGAGTTGGTTCTTTGTGCCCTTCGAGCCATAATCTGCAAAAACATAAAACCAACAAAATATGGCAGCTTTAATAGATTTTTAAACCAAAAAAAATGGGGGTGGATATGGCATTACGCTGGGCGTTCATCCAGCGTACACTGGCCGTATGTCCAGGCTTGTGATTCTGTGTCCTGGTCCCAGTCCCTTTCTTGTGCTAAATTCATAATCCGTATCCAAATAGACACAACAGGGGCATCAACACAATTAATTTTTAAACATCGCGTGGTCCAAAGGAACCAACCGTGTGGTCCAAGACAGTAGGAGAAAAATCGGGACCTCCTAAAAAATATGAATCAATCCCTAGAAAACATTTAACAGGAAACATGTATAGCAGTCAAAAATAGAAGCCAGAGTCAAGAACTCGAAGTCACAGGGGTACGCTTGGCGTACGACCCCAAGCTCAAATCGATGAACGTGGGACGGAATTAAGACGAAATTAAGCTCGAGGGTTTAATGTATTAACCGAAATCGGTCCATTCAAGCCCTAATCAACACATACATTTGCGAAATCCACCCTAATTCGAAAAATATATAAACCCTAGATTTCAAGCAAAAGCTAAATGCAGCTTATTCCTTTGAATTAAACACAAATCCATAACATATAGTGACTGAAAAAGCTTACTTGAGTGTCGAATTCAACAAGAACGAAGCACAATCGAAACTTCTTTGAGAGAATCGCCGTCACAGCTTATGCGAGAAAGAAATTGGTTTTGAAAATAACAACGAAGTCAAAAGGTCAAGATGTATACCTAGTCGCTGATATACGCGGGGCGTAACACAAGGGTACGCGGGGCGTAACCCCAACACCCGGAGATGTTCATCCGTGATTCGGGTCTTATTACGCATGGCGTAATATAATTTATGCGGGGTGTAATGGTATTTGAAAATTTCCAAATTTCCTTTTCTTTTTAATTATTTAATCTAGGGACTTAAATTAATTATTATTATTTATTTTTTATTTTTTTTCTTTTTAATTTCTTAAGCTAATGATGACTTCACGATGAGTGATAAAATAAAAAAAATTGAGATGTCATAATCACTTATCTTTGTCAAGATCAAACAACAATGGTTGATCAAAAACCTTTGCATGCAAGAATTGGTTTGCGAAAACACCCACTTTCGGGACCCGTTAGAATATTTCCTTTGTTTTCCTTGCACCTTTAACTAGAAGCGGAACAAGAAGTGACCTAACTAGTCAAGAACAGCAAGAGCTCGGTCTTCCACTTAACCACCACAATACGCCTTGCTATACTACGCCTCATGGATTGAGTTGGACAAATCAACAAAGTAGTAGGCTAAGCAGGTCAAGAATTCCCTAATCGCTTTCATTCTCGAAACCCATGCAAAAAGTAAAGTCAAGCAATGTGTACAATCCCAAATTCCTGCAAAATAAAAACAAGAACCTTCCCGACAAGTGAAATGATATCATCGAAAATCAAACTAAAAAAAAATGATAACTAACTAAAAACAAATAACGAATAATCAAATAAAATAAATTAATGACAAGCCGTTCCCCGGCAACGGCGCCAAAAAACTTGATGAGCACGAAAGTACCCATTAATTTTAATATTTATAACCTAACAAACTTAGACTAACTATGCACTTATAGGCAGTGTACCTAGTCAGATTATAGTATAGCTTAGGTAAGTCGGGTGTCGATCACAGGGAACGGTGGATTAATTTAATATATTTAATTATAGGTTACAAGTTAAACGAGAAGGATAAAGAAATAAATCTCAAACTAACAATTAATTGACTACTCTCGATAAACTAACAGGAAAACAAATCTCTTTAGGTACTTTGGTTTAGACTAATTCCACCTTGAGAACATAAACAATTGCATACACAAATTCATTTATTCATGTTCACCGATTCCTAAAATGATTAGATTCGTGTTCACTATAACTAATCCTTTAGCAAACAAGTCAATTCAATCAGTGATCAATTGGTTAAACTAACATGCTTCCTAGTGTTCAGTTCGTATCAAGCAAGACTTGTAAATTTAGTTAATTTAAACATTTAATTAACCTCTTGTTGATGGTCATCAAACAAGGCTCACACATTAACTTACTTATTCCCAAGTTAATCCTAGTTTCACATTCGTTATTTCTAGTCTTATAATCTCAATGGTCATCAAAAAATCATAAGAGACAAGCAAATCAAGCAGGTTTTCATACAACTTAATTCACTTAACAATTAACAGCAAATAATCATCATTAACACATGAGGATCTTTGAACAAGCTTGGCAAGATAAATTAAACACAAATAAATGATTTAACATAACAATTAGTCTAAGAATCAAAACTTCATTCAATCATAAACACAAGGTAAAAGGTTTTTACACCCAAATCAGAAACTAAATACAAAAAGTACCATAAGGAAGTGCTAAACATGGTCACGTTAGCAATCCATATGATTACCGACATGTATCCTCTCTCCAATCCTTCAGATCTCTGCTCCCGTTAGCTTAACAGCCTTCCGGCCGCCTTCTAGACCCTCAAAACGGCTTAACAGAAGTTAATTCTCGACTAAATTAGGTTAGAAGTCGAATCCCCCCTCCTGGTTAGCTAAAAATCGACATTTATAATCTTTGTGGCCGACCTAAGTACGCTGGGCGTACTTAGGATTACGCAGCGCGTACTATGGATAATCACGCGATCAAGTCTATCCGATGCAAGCAGGTACGCGGGGCGTACTCGCTACCTCAGCACCCTTTTCTTTCTTTTAGCTTCTAAGCCCGGTTTCCGCTTCAGTCTTTTCTCTTGTGCTTTATTGACAACAAATAGCTGCAAAACATAATTCAAAGTATTATGAGTACTCTTTAGTTCTAAAATAGAATAAATAAGGCCAAAATATTAAGATAAAGTGAATAAAAATATATATAAAAATACACATATCACTATCCTAACCGCTGAATTGGATAGTTCGCCCTAAAATGGCCAGGCTAGTGACAACGATGGCATAACTCTACTTATACTGTGCATTCTTGATGCTTGTGACCCTTCCACCACATCTGCCACACTTGGACTTACTACGCACATCACCCCGTGCCCCCTCCTTCCTTGAGCAACCATCTCGACTCCTCAGGTCCTTGGCACTATCTATGGTAGCGTCTGACTGTCCAACTTGCTGAGCCAGACTGGAAACTCGCTTCCTCTTTCTCGGCTGACTATTAAAACCCATATCCTGCTCCCAGGTCACCCGAACCATTCACCCACTACCCAGATAGATGAGGTCCACCTCTTTATCCCATCGATTACTCTATCAGTGACACATCCGATGGTGTCGGGTAACTCCTCGCGGAGGGCCATCAAAACCTCCGCAGTAATCCAATCCCGCAGGGATCTCTTTGGAGGTAAGGTGTACCACCCACTCCCGACCCCTGATGGCAAGTGCTAAAAATGGAATTGTCCTCCCTGATGGATCCCTCGGATCCATAAGAATCGGGATCTAGAAAAGCCCCAAACTGTCCTAAAATTCTCCCGGCCCTAAACGCCTTAAGTCGACTGTCCATAAGCTCCACGATGGCCTCTCTAGTCGAACTGAAAATCACTGGAGTCTGATCAATGATGTTGCACATAATCTCTACAGAAATGAAATCCCTCATCTGATCATCAAGCTGTCCGGCTCTTGAACCTGAGCCAGATCCCTCCCCGACACCTGAACTGCTAATTGGTATCTAGCGCAACATCACCATGCTGAAAACATACCGCAATAACTGTATGAATACTCATTGCTGCTGAGGGATCCCACATATACTACAAGTTCCCTGGTCTCATCTCAGCCTTCCTTGATTCGAGTATGGATCCTCTGCTTTCAATAGTATAGGCATATACTACATTCCACATCTATCCGTACTTTCCTCAAGAACTGCCTTGACTCCACCAAGTCCCTTTTATTGCTACTGCTCTCTGCTACCCTCATCCTAGGCTTACCCTAAGGAAAATCTTTAACTCCACTTAAACCAATCCTCAGCTACTAAAGGCCTCCTTGTAATGCCAATTATCCATCACCTGAATACCATCACATGTAACGAGGCTCAGATAATCCTTCGAGTAAAAGACTCGTCCCTACAACAGTTAGACTCAAACGAGAGCTGTGCAATAGGGCCAAATCCAGCACTCTGAGATTATTAAATCCTGATTACGTGACGTGACGTATTCACCTGATGGCTAACTCCTATCACTCAGACTCCTACAAAGAACAAAGCAAGAAACATTCAGACACAAGAAACTACTCAAGAAAATCTGTTCTTATAATGCAAAACTCTATTAGCATACAATGCTAGGCTCATACTATCAGGCATAACCTAGACAAGCTATCCTACTAATGTCTACTCAATACTAGCATGCATTTCTCATAAAGCTTAAACACATATAGTAGGCACATAAGGCATCCTCCTAGATCCTTAGTCCTATTCTAGCATGTTGTTCTACTGAAACTGAAACTGATAATCATAAAATAACTTGTATGGATAATTTGGGAATACTTACTTGAGCTCGGCCGATTGCATGCACCATACCCTTTTTCTCTTTTCAAAGTTATTTTCTTCCTAAATATTCTTTTCGCTCTTTCTAAAACTCTTTTTCTCTTCTCAAACTCCTTTATACAAAATTCCTTTTTGAAAATGTTTTTCTTTTGAAAACCATTTTACTGTTTCCTTAGTTTGAGTCAATACACATTCTCAAGTGTGTCCGAATCCCTTAAACCAAGGCTCTAATACCAACTTGTAATGACCCAAAAATCACGACTAATAAAATTTCTTTTAAAACATTACTAAAACCATATTTATAAAAAAACCGTATCATAAGTCATAACATAATTTCTGAGTATTAATCCAAAACATAATCTTATTATCAAAGTAAACCATTCCCAGGCTGACTGACTATGTTGTGTGCACTGCAAACTCTCTGAGCTCCTCTTTTGAAAACTGAGTACCTGAAAGCAAAACTGAAACCGTAAGCACGAAGCTTAGTGAGCACCTCAAAA